GGGGAATGTGGTCCAGGACCTTGACTTATGTGAAACACACCTGGGGTGCTTGTAATGCTATGGGTCCCTGGACACATTCCAGACCAAGTGTATCACAATGGCTGTGGGAGGGGCCAAGACAGCAGAATTTATTTTGTAAGAACTCCAAGTGTTTTTTAACCACAAGATTAAGGACTTTTCTCTCATTTCAGGGTTGCTCAGACTTTGCAGCACCTTAGAATTGCCTGGTAAAATTGGAAAGGACTGGTGTCTGGACCCCAGGCAGGATCAGTTGTATCTGTAGATTAAGGGAAGGGGGTGTAGAAGGCAACAGCACTTTGAAATTTACCTAGGCGACATAAATATGCAACTAATTGTGACAGCCACAGCATTAAGGTTGGAGAACAGCGAATTCATGGCAATCCGTGAAGAAAGAACTAATTAAATTACTTTCTGGATCACTTGGTGTGAGTAGCTCCTTGAGATGGGTGACTTCAGGGGTGGGCGGCACGAGGAATTCAAGAATGTGGAATGGGGTGATTGGCTCTTAAGAGTAGGAGGCAGCTTAAGGAAGAGAATAACAATTCTGGATAGACATTATCTCTCCGTGCACTGAGAGAGGAAAAAGGTATCAGGAAAAAATGCTCAGAGCGACTCATTTATATTTGTGATGTTTAATGTTTTTTTAAGTTGCAGTTTATTTATTAATTTTAAGAGAGAGAAGGAGAGTGCAAGTGGGGAAGGGGCACAGAGTGGGGGTGGGGAGAATCCCAAGCAGGTTCCACACCACCAGCGCAAAGCCCGATGCGGGGCTTGAACTCACAAACTGCGAGATCAAGCCCTGAGCCAAAGTCAGACGCCTATTTATGGAGCCACCCAGGTGCCCCTGTGATGTTTAATATTTTAAACATTGTGATGTGAACAGCGAACCAAGCTGTAATCCTTGCTCCCACGAGGCTGTCCATTGTTGCAAGATGCACCATGGATTAATTTTACCGATTTATATGTTTATTTACAGGCAAGGGCACAGCATAGACTCTCCAGCGCATGATTCAACACTAGATTTCTAAGATCCCCCCCTACTGTTCCATCAGTTATATTTGTAGATTCCTGTGGCTGTGTGGAGGCATGCTGGCTGCAGAAACCACAGTATCTATTCATTCCCCAACTGGTGACTAGGTATGAGGGGGGTCTGATAATGATAATTTGATATACATCTACATTGTGAAATTATTACCCCAGTAATTAATATATCCCTCACCTCACTTAGCGATCATGTTCTTGGTAACACTTGAGATCTACTCTCTAAGTGAATTTCAAGTGCACAATACATAATTATTAGTTATAATCACCTCGGTGTACATTAGGTCTCCAGAATTTATTCATCTTATGACTGAAAGATTGTACCTTTTAATCAAATCTTCCCTTTCCCCCCCACCACCCAGCCTCTGATAAACTCGACTGTATTCTGTGTTACTGTATGTTTGACTCTGTTTTTTTTTTTTTGAGATTCCGTATAAAAGTGAGATCTTGTAGTATCTTTCTGTGTCAATAGAATTGCTTTTTGTGTCAAAAGCAATACCGCGTGCTTTTAAGGCTGGAAGCAATCTGATCATGTACAACCAGTGGGTGGGACAGCTTGGCAAGGTCTCTTGAAGTTGTGCATGTGATGACCCTTTCTTTATATTTCACTTAATATAATATCCTCCAGGTTTATCCATGTTGTTGCAAATATTTCTTTCTCATGGGTGAATAATATTCACAAATATGTATATATACATAGGTTATATAATAATCACATTTTCTTTATTCATCTGTTAATGGACATTTATTTTGTTGGCATACCTTGGCTACTGGGAATATAATGCTGCAGCGAATATAGGAGTTCAGATATCACTCCCAGATAGTTATTTCAAGGGCCGCTGGGTGGCTCAGTCAGTTAAGCATCCGACTTTTGATTTCAGCTCAGGTCATGGTCTCACAACACATGAGATCAAGCCCTGCATCAGGCTCTGCACTGACAGCACAGAGCCTGCTTGGGACTCTCTCTCTCCCTCTCTCTCTGCCCCTCCCCTGCACTCTCTCTCTCTCTCATTTTTTTTTAAAAGAAAAGACAAGACCATCCTTTCCCCACTGTGCATTCTTACTTTGTTGAAAATTAGTTGACTATATGTATGGGTTGATTTGGGGACTCTCTGTTCTATTGGTGTATCTGTTTTTATGCCAGTACCATAATGCTTTGAACACTATATTTTTTTAACACAATTTGAAATCAGAAAGTGTGATGCCTCCAGCTTTTTTTTTTTTTTTCTCTTTGCTCAGAATTGCTTTAGCTATTTGGGATATTTTGTAGTTCCATATGAATTTTAAAGTTGTTTTTTCTATCTGTGAAAAATGCCATTGGGATTTGGATAGAAATTGCATTGAATCTGTAGATGGCTTTGGGCAGAACGGGCTCTTTAATAACTATCTCATAATCTATGAACACAGGATATCTTTCGGTTTAGGTATGTCTCCTTCCATTTCCTTCTGTGTTTTATACTTTTCAGTATTACAGATCCTTCACTTCTTTGAAATAAGAAAAAAATGAAATGCAACAAACCAAAATGGTATGAGCCATGCCTGTGGTGTGGCAGAATGAGACAGAGAGGGTTGAACCAAAGCAGTGAAAGCTCAGAGAGAAACTGTGGCCATACAGAGTCCAGAAGTGACAAGGAGAGAAAGAGGGAGCTGAGGTCAGGGAGGAGAGAGCCAAGGAAGGAGAAAAGAAGCCTAGCCTGGCCAAAAAGCTTCCAGAAGTGGCAGATAGCACATTGCACTCAGGCTGGATTTAGAGTGGGCCCTATATGCAATGACTGGTGTTCTTGTAGGAAGAGAAGACACAGAGACATAGAGGAACAGAGACCCTGTGAGAGATTCAGGCAGAGACTGGAGTGATACTATCACCAGAAGCTGGAGACTGTAGGCACCACCAGGAGCTGGAAGAGGCAAGGAATGATTCTCTGCTGTTGATAAACCATGAATCGACTGTAGGACTCCCCCATTTATGCCCACTCAAACTATCAAAAGCTGTTAGTACGTTGTCTTTAAAATCCTAATTATCACGTGGCTTATCACACGGATGTCCTGGAGATCAGTGACCATGCCCGATGCCATCATGTAAACTTTCCAGGTCCCCAGTTATCAATCTGAACACTTTTTTTTTTTTTGCAGTTTTACACCTTTATCTGACAATCACTGACTAACTATCATCCATATTAACTGTCTGGAGATTTTTGTGAGTGGTGACAGGTACACAGGTAACCAACATATAGAGCTGGTCTGGTGAATCTTCATCCTCGTTATGTATTCCGGACCGCCACACACAGATACAGGATGGAACATTCCTTCTTCCTTTGGCCCAGACAGCTTTGTTCAGCTCACATCTGGAGTTTCCATCTCCTTTGTGGCAAATGTCCAGATCTCTTTGAGTGCCAGAGGGCACACTTCTGGAAACCCACTCCACGAACGCGCTTGTGAATGTTGCTGTGTTCTCTGGACCCTGCCTCCTTGATGGTAGAATGGCCCTTCTCGCTACCCTTCTTTGTGGGAGCCATTCTTCCAGGTCCCGGTTGGAAAGGAACACCTTCATTTTTCAGTATAGCTCCCTGTAATCATAGCCTACATCTGGGAACCGGCTGAGAATGATTTAAATGCATGGATAAATCAAGATAAAGCAATTTAACACAATTTACAAATGGGAAGATTCAGTGAGGGAAGAAATCAGCTGTTGATGGGACTAGAGTAGATTATGTCCAGACAGACACAGATACATGCAGAATACAAATGAGGGGGGGCAGGGGTACCTAGGTTGCTCAGTGGTTAAGTGTCTGACTTCGGCTCAGGTCATGATCTCACGGTTCGTGAGTTTGAGCCCCGCATTGGGCTCTGTGCTGACAGCTCAGAGCCTGGACCCTGCTTCGGATTGTGTCTCCCTCTCTCTGCCTTCCCCCGCTCTCACTTTGTTTCTATCTCAAAAAAAATAAACATTAAAAAAAAATTTTAATGAGTGGGGGAAGGTCTTTCCCTGCCAACCCCCACACCCACCCCTACTGTGCTCTCCTCCCAGGTGGACTCAAACCCAGGCAGGCACTCCTCCTCTGTGACCTCACTCAACTCTGACTCCCAGAACTCCAGATCTGGCAGGCAAGACCCTGTGTACTCCAGCTCCAACTCCGGTGCCATAAAGGGCCCTGTGCCTGGATCCTACTGGGCTAGGGTGGGGCCATGAGATGTCCTCCTACCCCAGGACATTGGATAAGAAGATTAGCTCATCCTGAAGAGTCAGATCTGCCCCAGTCCTGTGCCGGAATGAGCCTCTACCACAAAGCTGCTTGCTCTGGGAGGGAACTTTCACTAAGTTAAATCCAGAGCCCATGGTAGGAGGTACAAGACATACCTGTCCGCCTCCTCTCACTCTCTACCCTTTTGTGTTCCCGTCCTTGACCCTCCGAAATCAGCCTTCCTCCCCCACCTCTGCCAAAACTACTCTATCAAAAGTGTAAGGAAGTCCAGAAAATGCCGGCTCCTTCTTTTCCTTCCTGACCCTAGTGAGAAGGTCTCCCCCTCTGACTTCTGTAATATTCCACCAAGTATTTGTTCGGCACAAATAATTACAACGTTTGTTGACCGAATGAATTGTCCATAAATAAAATGAAGTGTTTATTGGATCATTCCAGCATGTCCTATGCTGTGAGGCAGACAAGTTTCATCCAGAGCAAAGGCACTGAGCCTGCTGGCAAAGCTTTGTCTTCTCTCTTATCACATGAAATCCAATCTCTTACCCACCAAACCACCCACTATTTCATGTCTTTGTGTCCCAAAAGAGTTTAATAAAGAGCCATCTTACTATAACAAAGCATCGTGGTAGGGAGCGAGAAACAGGGTTGACAATGCAACAGAAAGTGGAACGTGCCTCACTGGCGAGTACCCTCCCCAGGGCCACCCCACTCGACCCTTTCACACAATCTTCTACTTTTCCTCTAGTTGTCAGAACATCCCTCTTGGCTTCTGGCTCTCTCTGCCTCCCTGGCAAGCCTGTCTGCCCCCAAGGCCTCAGCCAGCCTGTCTCTTGCTTTTCTCACTTTCTGAGTCTGTCTCCAGATATCTCCGAGTGTTACCGGTTGTCTGTAGACGAGTGGTGGGGGACAGAAACCCACCCCGGGGACCGTCCCTGCCCAACCTGAAGATGGCGCTGTGCAGAACTCAGGTCTGCCAGGTAGAGACCCAGCACCACCCACACCACCCAGCGCAACTACCTGTAAGGTACTTGTAAAGTCCAAAGTACTTAACATCTCCCCATCGCTGCTGCAGGCCTGGAGGCCCTGCAGTCTCCTGTATGCACAGATTTGCTGGGGCTTCTCCAAGGTTTTGTCCCATTGATTGCACCTGGTCCCACTGCCAGGATGAGAAGTTATCCTTGTGACCGGCCTCTCAAAAATGCAGCTGGTCCGCCTTACAGGAAGTGCAGCCCTTTCACGACACCTCTGCTTGGACTCAACTAAATGGACTTTTTTCTTCTCCGAAGTCCAGGCCATCATGTTTCTTTTGAGCTTCCCCTTTGAAAACAAAATGAAACAGGAAATTTGAAGATGGGGGATGAAGGCCACCAGCCACAAAGAATGGTCTCCACTCATCTGTATCTTTCACCCTCCTTTACCCACAGAGAAAGGTGTCTCGAATGGCACCGTTGTATCACCATCATCTGGAGGGTGGTTAGCACTCAAGATTTCTGGACCTCAAGCCAAGCAGGTCTGGAGTGGGGCCAAGAATCTGCATGTCTAAGGGTTCCCAGGTGATGGTGATGCTGGTGCGAGAACAGTTCCTGGGATGATATCAAAGAGATGTGAGTCAAGGACAGAAAGCTTGAGGTCATTACCCAGTGCCAATTCCAGACCCTTTCTCCTCCACCACCTTCTCTGTAGGATGTGCCCATCTTACCACACTTGTCAATGTCAACCACACTCATGCTGGCTCCCCTCAACCCACCGTCATTTGGACACAGGGATCACAGGTTTCTTAGTATCCCAAGGCTTCAGGCTTGCAGTATCTCTTAACTGGGGTCTAGGACACACAACAACCTGGTTCTCCTACCTCTAGTGCCTCATCCTCAGTGAGGTCTTGCCCCTCCCAACCCTTAGATACTCACTCACTCTCACTTGCACACTCAAACCCCATTGTCACTCAACTATCTTCCTGTTCATGAATAGATAACCAGAAACACCATATTCCCATCACACGTTTTTGTTTGTTTGCACAAAGACCTCCATTATAAAACCATTTTTCAAGATTCTGGCAAGAACATTCTCCGTGCTCCTCCCTGTTAACGTCAGCTCCTCTTTCTGACTTAACACAACAATCGATGCTTCTTAGAGGTCAATCCTGCTCTCACATTTGTTACACATACGCACCCCTGTCTAGGCCATTCATCCATTTCCCTGGCTTCCAAATACCATTAATGGAACTAGAAATGCCCATAGAGTCAGTGCAGATCTGACTCTGACCCTGATACCCAATACCCACTCTCCCACTCACCTCATCAATAATGACACTGATGACTCCACGAACAGTGACCAGCTCCGAAGTTGAACCAACCAATTCCCCCCCAAAATTCACTGCTGTCTCAGTGTCCCCAAACCCACTTGCTAGTACTAATGTCCTGTGTAAACCTGAGTGTCATTGTGGCCACACCACACACTTTGAACAATAAACCATACATCCGCCCTCCTGAATTTACCTAAAGACTCAACTTCCGAATAATTCTTGAGTACTTTCAGTTTCCTATAAAATCCCACAACCTCGGTGACCTTTCCTGATCCAGCAACCAAAATTACATTTTCTGTGTTGATTTTTTTCAGTGTTTACTTCTATATGTATTACTATTTCTTTCATATTGCTTTTCTACAAACTGGATACTCAGCAGAGATGTGTACTTTAATGTTTAATTACACATGTGCAGTGGTTACATCCATAACCACTTACTGTTTCGCCATTGAAGGCACTTGGATTTATTTACGGAAATAAATTATTCAAACTCAAAAAAATACTTTCTACACTTTTTAAATAAATTCATTCCACCACAAGTGCAATGACGTATCTCTCTTGTGGCATACTGCACTAAATCATCACTGTCCGAGATTTTTTAATCCTTTCTCTCTGTAATTTATTATAGCAATTCCCCTTAGCCACCGTTTCAGGTTTCAGTTACCTGCGGTCAACTGTGGTCCGAGGTCCAGAAGGAACGGTCTTCCTTCTGATGCATCAGTTGTAGTCTCAGGCTACATCACAGTGCCTACCAGCACTCATCTCACTCCACCTCATCACCTAGGCATTTGATCAATCTCACATCATCACAATAAGGTGAGTACGATACAGTTATGTATTCTGAGAGAGACTACATTCACATAACTTTATTACAGTCTATTGTTATAATTACTCTATTTTATTATTGTTGTTAATCTCTTACTGTGTCTACTTTATAAATTAAACTTTACCATAACTATGCATAGGAAAAAAACATATATAGGATTCAATACTATCTATGGTTTCAGGTATCCACTGAGGGTCTTGGAACATGTCCCCTGGGGACATGGGAGGAGTACTATATAAGACTCTAATCACAATAATCTGTTTAAACTGCAAACCTAATCAATATGCCTTTCCTTTTAAACCTATCATTTATTTTTAAAGGGAAGCCACAAATCTCATTTCATTCCTTTTGTCCTGCCATAATTATTATTATACCACCCCTTTCAATACTCAAGAGGTCCCAGTTTAGAGGAAAAATTGTTTGATCTTCCCATTTATAGAGCACCTAATATATGCCAAGTTGTGCACTAAAACCAGAATTTAACTTAACAAAAATCACTGCCCACCCCACCCCCATTTATTTTAGTCTCAGTAAGAGGAAAGAGTTAATACACAGAATAATGAGTATCTAATATCATGTCAGGTATAATTAACTACTGTGGTAAACAGGCTGATACAGACGTAGAGAAAGAGAGGTGGAGGAGGAAAGTAGGGAGGGATAACAGGACAAAGAAATTAACTACAATTATTTTTTTAATTTTTTAAAGTTTATTTACTTTTGAGAGAGAGACACACACAGAATGTGAGTGGGGGAGGGACAGACAGAGAGGGAGACACAGAAGCCCAAGCAGGCTCCGGGCTCTGAGCCGTCAGCACAGAGCCTGATGCGGGGCTCGAACCCACGAACCTTGAGATCATGACCTGAGCCGAAGTCGGACGCTGAACCCACTGAGCCACACAGGCACCCCAGAAATTAACTACAATTATTGATGAAGAGATTAAGATGGGACTAACTGAGGACATATTTAAGCAAAGAATTGAATTAAAAAGAAAAAAAAAAAAAAAAAGACGAAGCACATGTGGGTAAAGAATTTTCCAGAGAGGGGAACAATGTAAACAGTGGAGGACAAAAGTCTACTTCCACTTCCTGGTGATATTGTTGGTTAAAACAAAACCACCAAACAAACACATCTAAGCCTATTTTCCCAAGAAAACTTCATATACTAAATAGTATTAGTGCAACACCTTGAACATTACTTAAAAAACATTAACATCTGAGGGATGCCTAGGTGGCTCAGTTGGGTAAGCCTCTGACTCTTGGTTTCAACTCAGGTCATGATCTCATGGTTTGTGGGATCGAGCCCCAAATCAAGCCCCAAGCTGGCTCTATGCTCACTGCACAGAGCCTGCTTGCGATTCTCTCTCTTTCTCTCTCTGCCCCCGCTCCCCAACTTTAAAATAAATAAATAAACTTTTAAAAAATGAGCACCGAAGAAACAGCTTTCAATTAAGATATCTTCTTCCTTTAAAATCTCCTGTCAGCTCACTTAAAGAGGTTTCATGGAATGAGAAGTGTACCAGGGCTCCTGGATGGACCAGTTGGTTGAGCGTAGGACTCCAGCTCAGGTCATGATCTCACGGTTTGTGGGTTCGAGCCCTGCGTCGGGCTCTGTGCTGACAGCTCAGAGCCTGGAGCCTGCTTTGGATTCTGTGTCTCCCTCTTTCTCTGCCCCACCCCCCACTCACAATCTGTCTCTCTTTCTCAAAAATAAATAAACATTAAAAAAAAAAAAAAAGGATTGGTATACCAGTGGGCACTCATGTCGACAATATGGACTCCACACTCACCAGAACGGGCTGGTCTGGACAACAGGTGGGTACAGTGTCCTCCATGGCTGCCAAGTTGTCCTGATGCCTCCACTCCTGATGTGAGAACCCGTGGCTTGCTGCAAAATGTGTGACTTCTGCCTCTGAGCCTGAGGCCCGTTTTATGGAGGAAGGGAGTAGATAATCCAATGAGTGGATAATGGAGAAGCGACATCCTGTCTCCTATCAACTGCAGTTGAGCAGTTGCAAAATCTTTTTATACAAAGACACAAATATTGGGTTTCCCAGCTGGCCCATTTGGAGGGGCATTTGACTCTTGATCTTGGGGTTGTGAGTTTGAGCCCCACATTGGGTGCAGAGATTACTTACATAATAAATAAACCTTAAACACACACACACACATACACACAGATGTGGGGCTATTGACATTGTCAGCTGTTGTAGATGAAATCATTAAATACATTTGTGTGTGAGGTACATTTGTATCTTGTGGTTTCTGTCCACTTTTTAATGTTTCCCGTTTCCTCCCACTATGGATACAGTCCATAAAAACAGAAATGGAAGTTTCTATGTATAAAAATTTTCATACAACTTATGTTTTATTAGGAAAAAATTAGAAACTGTTTAAATGTTTCTCGGTAAAGGTATGTCCAAAATATTTATTAACAATTCTATGGAATATATCACAAAGACATTAAAAATAAATTAATAATTTGTGCATTTATAATTCATTTTATTGCCAGTAAATTTGAGAGTATTTCAACCACCTTACACTTTCCCTACCCTTTGACCTAAATAGTTAATGTTCCTTCACTCTCTTCATTTTACTGAGTTTGATTTAACTCTTTTATTGTTATATTGTTCCCTTAATAAACTTACCAGTTGCAATCATATATAAATCTTTATGTGCTTAATGATTAATTACGATTCCTTTATTTTATATAGTCTAATATAATTACTTTTACCACCTTCCCCAAACGCTAATACCTTCCAACCCTTCCCATTACATTTTTAAGCTTTCTGAGGCACCTTAATCCTGCATTGTGGTTAGGGTCCCCTCCCTAAGGAAAGAAAAACGAGCAAACAAACACCTCAAGGCAACCTGGTTATATGTGTAAGTAACAACATCCCTCATGACCTTGTAACATGAGACCACTTAATCAGACTACATGTTTGTGTCTTACCATCTATGGGAGACACAGAAGTAAAAAATGTAGAACAAAATTATGCCATGACCATGTGGTGTTTGGAGCTCAGTTCTTTGGGTACGAACACAACTGAGTTGTTCTGGGACGAATAAAGCTGCTTCCTGGAAAGAAAAGACTTGGGATCACGACTCTGTGTGAGAATCCCACTACAGTATATATTTTAATCTCCAAGAGAGATTTCCAGAATTGCCTCATAAAGCAAAGTTCATTTGGGGGTGCCTGGGTGACTCAGTCGGTTAAGCATTCGACTTGGACTCAGGTCATGATCTCTCTCTCTCTCTCTCTCTCTCTCTCTCTCTCTCTCAAAAGTAAATAAACATTAAAAAATTTTTTAAGTTTATTTGTAATTATAAATTATCCTTTCCTTCTCTTTGTTCCTTCCTGCAATCCTGGTTTTCAATCTGGAATTCCACTTGTTTGGATTAAAGAACTCACTCTAGTATTTTTTTCTAATTCAAGTGTGCTAACAATGAAATGTTTCATTTTTTAAAGGTTTTCTTAAGACATCTTAAAAAAATTTTTAATGTTTATTTATTTTTAAGAGAGAGAGAGAGAGCACGAATGGGGGAGAGGAAGAAAGAGAGGGAGACACAGAATCCCAAGCAGGCTCCAGGCTCGAGCTGTC